AGAGAGAGAGAGAGAGAGAGAGAGAGAGAGAGAGAGAGAGAGAGAGAGACTTGGTGACTTTGCACTCCGAGAGGGCAGAGGAATTGGGGGACAATTGTTGGAGACTTCATGGGCGACATTTAAGTTGACAACGTCTCCATATCTCCTCCTCCTTCGTCTTTTCTCCGTCCTCCTCATCTGTGGATGATGTTCTGACACAGCACACTTTTTTTATGTGTGCAGCGCCATGCCCTCTCACCCTGCTTGATGACGATGAGTGAGTGAGTTGCAGCCAGTCTGAGTCGTTGTGGATCAGATCTGTGTGCATCGGCTTTCCGCTGCATTGTATTTTGCTTCTTTGTCCTTGGTCGATTCCTGGTTTCTGCACCATGCCCATCTGATTGTCTTCGGGCATGTTACACGGAATGAGTGAATATGTATTAAGATGACAGGAACAGAAGGTGGGGGGAGGAAAGGGAGGGCCGGCACCGGGGACCGCTGCACCTGTTGCTCATGATCTTCACCCTCCAGTGCGCCAACGCTTCGTGCAGCCGGATCAGCTTCCGCATACGCTTCTCAATGATGCGAGCGCATGCGGCGTCCCTCTCAGTCAGCTGCTTAAAGGCCTGTGTGCGAGCGTCCGTGCTGGCGAGATATGCCTGCATGCATGCACAGAGGTGAAGTCAAAACTTCAAAACTTCAAAACTTCAAAACTTCAAAACTTCAAAACTTGCAAAACCTTCAAAACTTCAAAACTTCAAAACTTCAAAACTTCAAAACTTCAAAACTTAACTTGCAAAACTTGCAAAACTTCAAAACTTCAACTTGCAAAACTTCAAAACTTCAAAACTTGCAAAACTTCAAAACCGACAAGTTGATATCTACCTGCGCTGCACCTGCTTCCCCGACTCAGCACGACCAGGTGCCACCAGATGACCACAGTAACGACATGTAAGTCACACTGTCTAACACCATTTTATTTTTTGGGGGGGAGGGGAAGGGAGATGTGAGGAATGTCTCCTCAGGGGGCCCTTAGACAACATGCATATGGGCTGACTGTGGCCCCCAGCAAGCCTCGTGCCCGCTATAAGTGAAGGCGGGCCTGAATATCCACGAGAGGCCCTATTCTCAGCATTTTCCAATGCAGGTCTCAGACAGTCGCTGCACGACAGTTGGTTGAAGAGCAACCTGGGCCTTACCCTGGGGTTCTGTTGCCTCTTCTGGAGAAGCCCAGGGTAAGGCCCAGGTTGCTCTTCAACCAACTGTCGTGCAGCAACTGTCTGAGACCTGCGTTGGAAAATGCTGAGAATAGGGCCTCTCGTGGATATTCAGGCCCGCCTTCACTTATGGCGGGCACGAGGCTTGCTGGGGGCCACAGTCAGCCCATGCAGCAGTTGAGCCCAGGGCCCGGGTGGTAACCATTTGTGCACACATTGAGAGGCCGACACATCACGAAGTGGCCACGGGCCAACAAAGAAAGCAGCATTGTCATTGTATCTGTCTCGTAGGCCAGTGCAAATGCAGCAAACAACTCGAAGCCTGGAAAGTTCTGGGCGAGCCCAACTAAAAAGGGCCCAGGCCTGTAACTGTCAGAGCTGGCCTGGGCGCAGACACCGGGGCCCGACCGGAAGCTACTGGAAACTTCCATGGCCAGGCCCACACAGTCCAGCAGTGGCTGCCAATTCCACATAGGAAGCAGGGCAGCCAGGGAATGGCATTCTGGCCAATGCTGGCATTGCGGACACGCTGCTGCGGTAGCAAGCGAGTATCTGCATGCACTGGCTTGGGCTGGGGCGTGCGCGGGCGCTGAGAGGTGAGGGCGCTGCAGGGTCAGCGGGGCACTAGCGGCCATAGCCGGGCTTCAGGGCACGAGGCAGGGAAGGGCGACAGGTCTTCGGGAGGAGGCGCAGAAGTGGGTGACAGGGGTGATGAGGGGAGACGGGGAGACATGCCTGTTGCATGAACGTAGGTAGGATAGATAGGCAAGTAGAGTAGGCTGGGCGCCAGACAGAGAGGAGCGACATTGAATACTGCGTTGGTGTGGCCTGAGGGCTTGGACATTGGCTCACGAGTTCATTGTATTGCTCTTATTTGGATGAAATCTTGGTGCATTTCAGCTCTCTGCTTGTACATGACCATTTGGACTTCTGCGTGATTTTGCAACTTGGTCTTCTGTATATCGCTCTCGCTCATATTCCTTGCAGGGAGTAAAAGAAATCAAATATCCAGGCTTCACACAGCAGCCCGGCCCAGGCTGTCCAAAGGCTGCGGCAACTCCATGGGCACGACAGTAAAATGTGCCCATCAACAAATTCACAGAGGTGAGAGATCTTGTTTTCTGGGACCAGAGTGGTCTGTGCTCACTCAACCATGACAGACACTGAGTCCGGTTGAAAAAAAAACAAAAGGCGAGGCAATGGCATGGAGTATTGTGTATCTTCTTCTTCTTTTTCTTTTTCTTTTTCTTTTTTTTTTTTTCTTTTTCTTTTTTTTTTGTTCCACAAAAACACACAAGCCCCTTCTATTCTGGGGGGCGTCATGCTTTGATACTCGGAGTCTCGGGAACTAGGTCCAGTTCGGAAAAAAAAAAAAAAAAAAAAAAAAAAAAAAAAACGAAAGGGGAAGAAGAAGAAGAAGAAGAAGAAGAAGAAGAAGCTAAAGGCGATTGCGATGCGCAGCACGTCCTTCCACAGATCCTGATCCGGTTCATCGTTCTGCGCGCTATCATCCTAGCCAGCAAGCTTTGCCAAAATGTTCTGTGTTCAGAGAAAAGAGTGTGCAGCAAAAGTTGATGAATAATCAATCAATGGTAAAAAGTTGAGGGTGAATGAATGTGGCATCAACCTGAAGGGGTCCTGGGTAGGAGGGCAATCAATGCTGGCACGCCTCAGGGTTACTGTTCTCAGACATTCTCAAATCATTCAAATGTTCAGGGACGCTGGACCCGATTTCCTAGCATCGAATTGGGTTGTTTTTTGAAAAAAAAAAAAAAAAAAAAA